AAAATCTTTCAAATGCGACTGTAGCTTTTTTTTCCCCCAAAACTTTGTCTTCAAAATAAGGGTGCGTCTTATATTCCGGTGCATCTTATATTCCGAAAAATATGGTAATCATTGATTATTTTGTTTCAATTGTGCTGTGAACCAACCATTTTTTTCTAGTAGTGTCTGTATGAAAACTTGCTTCTTTATTGTTACGTATTGGATTTTAAGGTGTCTTGAATGTGATTGTGTTTCTTGTTTACTTTTGTCTAGCTTGGAATGCTCTGTGTACGAGCCATAGTACGTTTGAAAAGATTAAAGTACACCCCAGAGCCTTTATCGATTGAAGTAGCACGTAATTACCCCTACAGGATTAAAACACTTAGAAAGGTAATATTTTTGTCTACTCTGCATGAGTTAGTATTTACATTATAATTAAGATTTTTTTCGTGAATATTGTTTTACCAGTATGTGTTTAATGAAGATCTTTTTTTACAATAATATATAATTCATGTGTTACTTTGGAAATTACCATCTATTTATTTGTTTAAGTTTATGTGGGTGAACTGTTGAAAAAAAAGTACCACACTACTTGTTGCTTTCATTAGTTTTCCACAAATTGATAGAAAACAGTTCTGTATTCAATAATTGTTTTGAAATTTCTTTTTGACAGCACAAGGGTTATAGGTTTATTACTTCAGTTGTTTGACATGATTGTCTCTTTCCAAAATTCTGGACTACAAAGTTATTGATTTCCAATTTTTAATCATTTATTTCTACTGTGTATCAAGTGTTAAAAGGCTATTTTAGAATTATGGTTGTGTGTGTCTTTTGTTTTTATTAAGGGCTATTTAATATTATAATGTTTCAACAAATGTCGACACCAGACCATTCCAGAATTGTAATTCAGTTCCAACTGAGTGAGGATAAACAAATTCCCTTATATATTAACCCCTTAGCTAGTGGTAGTAAGGCACTTTCTAACTACTTAATACACTCCATTATAAGATAGGAATAGTTGTTCACATGATTAAACAATGTGTTGAAACCTAGAGACATTGGCTGGAATCCCATTTTTTGATATCTTTCATGATGTATATGTTTTGCAATTCATACTCCAATTTTTTTAAATTTGAAATTCATAGAAATAAAAGTATATTAGTAGCCTGGAAGATGGAATACAGAAAACTGTACTCTTAGAATCCCATTGTGATTAACATTGGTTGACAAGTGACACTCGTCATTTTTTGGCATCCCATGTCTAAAATTAAGGAAGAAATGGTCTTCAAATACCATAATTATGATGGGTGTCCTAAGGTAATGTTTGAACTTAAGAAACATTTTCTTATAGTTTTCAACTCATAAAAATATTTAATGGACTTGTAGTTTTTTTTTTTGCAACTGCAAGAAAAATGACAGAGATATTACATACATTAAAGAAATACTACAGAGAGGTGTGAATTGAAGTTCCAAAAGTTTCTAACAGTAGGTGTAGAATCTAAAAAACAAACTATTCCTGTCCTGTTCAATTATCACATTCCTCCATTATCATGAACAAGGCTCATCCCCTAACTTGCACAGTAGAAGCACCTCGACATGTTAGATTTGGGGTCTCCCAGGAGGTGATGGTCTCAGCATATCCTGGAATAGTATGCCTTACATGATCTCACAGAATTTTTTTTATGCATCATTACAATTTACTTGTATATATGACATGACCCTTTTTTTTCTTTGCTTCAGGTCGTTGATGCCTGTGCTTTCCGTGTCTACTGCCATTGGGTGAAGAGAGGTGAAGTCCAGAATCGTGCTGCACTCTTCGAAAACCGACCAAAGATTGAACTGAAACAAATATATACTGATGCGATGAATACCATTACAACGTAATGACAAAGTTCAGCTAGGTTTTGTTTAAATTGGCTGCAAGACCATTTCCAAATTATTTTTATTTGCTTGGAGATATTTGTGTAATGCTGTAGTATTTTTCCTCAACCAGGGGATGCATACAAATTGCATTAACTGGTGTATAAAGAAATCGTGCAGTATATACCGTGTTTGAGTTTTAGTAACATTTTAAAACTCGTTAATGAGATTAGGACTTCAAGTTACAAACTAAACCCATATTCTATCATTCTAAAGTTCTTCACAAGACTTAAGATAGCAAACTCCTTTGGAACATCACTTCTATTGTTTATTTACTTGTATTCTTAATCAGTATTTCTCATTTAAGTTCTGTCATCTTGTGTTTTAAATTCGACATCTGTTGCTTCCAGCAGATCTGAAATGAAATTTTCTTTTTCATTCCTGGAGTGAAAGTAACTGTTTTATTTATTAGCAAGTAGTAGAAGGTATTTATTACCTAATGATACACATGGAAGTCTGTGCTATTCAGTGTTAATTTGAAAGCCAGTAGAACTATCTGTTCAATGTCAGGGTAAAATTATATTCATCTTTTTGGGTGTAGTGTTACTTGTAAGTTTATGAATGGTCACTGATGTAATAAGTTTGAAGTGAAAAGGTTTTTTTACTATTCAAATAAATATAAGGTTACATATTAAAGGTTTACGATATTAGGATAGGTGCAATTCATTGGAGAGACACACACATTCCATTATCATATATTTGTTAATTCAGGTTTTTTAAACTATAGCATAAGGAGCCACATCAGGGGTTTATTAATAATAATTTTAATAATTCTTGTGGTTAACTCATCTTCTCAATGTAACAAACTTCAATGTCTTTACAATTACTCTGGTAAGAAAACAAAAGCATTATTTTGCAAAATTAGCAAATTCAAAATCAACACTAAATGTAACACAAAGTAGTTGGACAATGTTTTGAAAACAAAAAGTATGCAACACTGGAGAATAAAAAAAACACCTGTCTTAGATAGGACAAAAATAAGATGAAAGTGCATTTTTAGAAAAAAAAACATTCAGCTTTGATTGTGATTTCTTTTTGTATATCAAAATATTTTAATATGGCAGTCTTTGTTATGGTAAGTAATCTGTTAAAAAAAATTCTTCTGTGAAGCAGTGTAAGTTATCCTAGTAATATCTGCAAATCTCACAAAAACTGAATGTATTAGAAATTGAATAAATTGTATTTAACTTTTATTAAATTTTTATAGTTTAAGTGCTGACTGAAGGATGGGAACCATTTTCAATGAAAACACCAAACAATTTCAGAAAAATATCAGGAAGAATAAAAACAACAACATATAACTCATGATATGCTGAAATTTGTTTTATACACTAATTTTAACACATTGCAAAAATATTCCACCATATAGTTAAAAAAACTATGTGCATTGTATACACATATCCAGAGCTGGATAGAGCAGGATTGGATGAAGACACTACTGTGTCAGAAGTACTTGACATCATTTATATATAATAAGCAGAAAAAACATTTATATAGATCATAGACCAGAGAGGTTGCTGCAACTTTTATATAGAAAGAGATAGGCAGAAAAAACATTTATATAAAACATAGACCAGAGCAATTACTGCAACTTTTATATAGAAAAAGATAGGCAGAAAAAAACACTTATGTAAATCATAGACCAGAGCAGTTGCTGCAACTTTCACATAGAAATAGATAGGCAGAAAAAACACTTATATATATATAAATCACAGACCAGAGCAGTTGCTGCATCTTTTATATAGAAAGAGATAGGCAGAAAACACATTTATATAAATCATAGACCAGAGCAGTTGCTGCAACTTTTATATAGAAATAGATAGGCAGAAAACACATTTATATAAATCATAGACCAGAGCAGTTGCTGCAACTTTCACATAAAAAAGATAGGCAGAAAAAAACACTTGTATAAATCATAGACCAGAGCAGTTGTTGCAACTTTTATATAGAAAGAGATAGGCAGAAAAAACATTTATATAAATCATAGACCAGAGTGGCTGTTGCAACTTTTATATAGAAAGAGATAGGCAGAAAAAACATTTATATAGATCATAGACCAGAGGGTTGCTGCAACTTTTATATAGAAAGAGATAGGCAGAAAAAACACTTATATAAATCATAGACCAGAGCAGTTGCTGCAACTTTCACATAGAAATAGGCAGAAATAATATTTATATGTATCATAAATTAAAGCAGTTATATGGCTTTAGCTAGAAGGCTCAAGGAAACATTGCCTTGTGCAAATTATGTATAGGCTTTTGTATTATTAGTATATAGCTGTAATTATGAAAGGTTTTTTTCAACATTACTTGGTTTTCAGATGCTGTTAGAATGCAACATCGACAGAAATTGCACAATATGTTTATGTAGAAGTATAAACTTGGTTTATTTATTAGTGTTATATCAGTTTTTTTTAGTTAATATATATATTTGCATTAAGTACAGATACAAAGATTTCCTGTGAAAAGGTAGATTAAATATTATGCTTGTGAATGGTAGTTTAGCATCTTCGTGTTACACACTATACTCTGATCTTTTAAAGGTTCAATTATTGTTTTTGAATGATTACTTTTATGTGATCTTACATGTTTAGAGACTGTTTATTTTTCATAGCCAGTAGATTTAAAAGTGATGTTATTTTCGTTGTAATTAATAGCTTTGTAAAACATTTAACAAGTGACAACTAGGTATATTGCCACTTTATTTTTCAAAGCATGTATTACATAGAGATCACATGGAGTATTACTATTTGGTGGTTATTGTGAGTTAAATATCCAGCATAAATAGATTTGTATGTACATCCTAATTTGTAGCGTTGATATTAAATGAACGAAAAAAAAAAGTGTCTAAAAGGTTATCCATAATTTCAACAAAAAAGGGGGGGGTAACATTTAGTAGCTGTATTTTCAAAAGGATTATTTAACTAGAACTGATAAACAGGAAAATGGAAACCAGTTGGACATGAAATTACTGGTCACTTCATTTGCTTTTATTTCTGTCTCTATTTCTGTTTATGTATTTGTAATTTCAGAATTGAAACTTTTATTTTTTTATCTTTCAATTGATCTGAAATTAATAACTGCTGAGTTTTTGCATAGAAAATCACCAGGTGGACAAAATACTGGATCTACAACCATCTGGAATGAACTTTGGAAGATGATTAGTCTATTCACAACATATAGCTGTTGTTGGAAGTATTAATTATAATTTTCTTACTCTTTTTCTTTGTATATGGAGCTCGGGTTTCTTTCTTTTAACATATATACATGTAGATCCTTTAGGTATTTAAAATTAAATACACTAATTCAAACTAAAGGAAACTACAGAACTGAGAGAGTGGAGAATTAGATATGTGAGAAACAAGTAGGTCTGTTAAAAAACACAACTGAATAAGATAATCCACCACTATGTATAAAGTTGAAAAATAGTCCATGTTCTCAGATCTTTTCACTTGAAGATATCAAGGACTATTAAGCAACAGTTTCATTAAAGTATTTTTTGTATAAATTTGAGACAAATTAGAAAGACTTGTGATTATCTGGAATGTCATGCAAAGCTGTTGTGATGTTAGTTCATATTTTTGGAATGTTAACAAGGTCATAACTTTTGTTTTTTGTAAATGTTTTCAGAGAGTGAGTAAGTATTTTGATGATATGCTATACTATTTGAAGAAGATATGACTGCTGTACGAGTGTGAAAGTTTCTGTCAGTCGTCTCGTATAGAACTGTTTGTAAATATACTGTATTTAAGTCGTAAGCATATTTTATTAAACTGTGTGATTCAGAAAAAGTTTTACAAATTGTTTTAGCCTGATTATGATACAATAGCATTTTGATTGACTTTGTTTGGGTTGTATCAACCCTCGTGACTATGATACAGTGAAATTTCGATTGACTTGGGTTTGGTTATACAAAGACTTAAGACTACTTTTTGTTTGAAAATCCGTGACGACAGCTTTAGAGTAAATATGTTTTGTGAAGTTTCTATGTTCAGATTATAATGTCCTAAGTGTTTTATATAAGCCAATATTATCGAGGACGCCTTAGAAATCCTAGTATAACAAACACTTAAGACATCGAATCTGGGATAACCTTGTTTAAAGTACTTATGATAATTTGTTTATTAATATTGATGATATTATATTAAAGAAATTATTGCATAAAATCGATTAATTATTTTATTATAAATGTTGTAAAAGCTGATACAGTAGATGTTCTCGTGACTTTTAATGTATTTTTATGACAATATTTCGTTTTTGAAATGTGGTTAATCCATCTGTACAACGTATCATATAATTTCACCTCCTAAGGCGATATGAACTGGTAAATAAAATTTGTTAGAAGAAAATATACTTTACGAATTACCAATTTTGCTAATTTGGGTTTCTTGAGTAACGTTATGTTTTTAGCTTCGCATATAAACGTATATTGAAAATCTAATAGGTAAAACCAGTTATATATATATATGCATGCATTTTTCAAGTCTTATATATAGCGAATCGCGGTGTCTGTCCGAACGTTCGTCTGTCTGCCATTTACAGCGGCTGCTTCCCGCGCTGCGTTTAAAAAGCTGCGTATGCAGGTAAAGCTCAACATCCACTTTTGAAGTGATGAGAGAACAGGCATGAATAGTATTGGTGCCAAATTTTATTTCACAAGCAGGAGAATATTCAACACAAAAATTTTTAGGAATTAATCACACTATTATTCACATTTAAAAATGTGACTTAACTTAAAGAATAAAAATGTAGATTTACCTTATGTTATTGCGACTCTTAGCATGACTGAAATGCTCAACAATTACTTTTTGTAGTGGGCGGTATATATATATCTAAGTAGCTCAGAGATAAGAATGAAACACAATTAACCTTTTTAAAGTCCATAAAATAATTTAAATTGATAGGTTAACTTAAACTTTTCTTGTCACTGGGGACGGGTACATTTGCTTGTATAGAAATAATTTTATCAAAAACAGTTAACAGGTTTGAGAAGCTTATTTCAATATGAATAAAATTTTTACACGAGGTGGTCATCTTGACACCCCCAGAGTGAGTGTTACACCATTCTTTAAACGCCTCCCAGTGGCTCTGTAGTACGGCTGGAGGTTTATGACCCTAAGAACCGGGTTTAGTCCATTGTGTGGCTTTGCGCTTAACAATATTAAAAAAAACTTTAAACACCTATGCATGTACTTAGCGTTAGTAATATTTTAAAGATATATCAACATGATGTTTTGTTTTTATTTTAGTTGTTAAAAGTGATTCAGTTTACAATATCCGTTACTTAAAAAATAACATTCAAAGATATAGAATATACTTCTTAATTTACGAAATTTCACCATGTAAACCTCACACCACGAGATGGAAAATACGTTGTTTTTTTGAACAATGATGAAAAGCATATATTAAGTAAAAAGCTATAATAGTTGAACATGAAACAAAAAGTGAGAAACCTTTAATCTTCTATATTAA